GTGTGTGTGTGTGTGTGTGTGTGTGTGTGTGTGTGTGTGTCTGCCTGTCTGTCTTTCTCTCTCACTTTGTCTTTGTCTCTCCCTGTTTCTTCTTCGACGCTATGTATCTACCCCCACCCCACATCAGCTCGGTTTTCACCTTTCTTTCTAGCCTCTTTTTATTTCACGTGTGTCCTCGCCCCCAACCCTCAATCCACCTCCCCCTATAAAAGAACAAACAAGAATAAACAAAATATCACAGCCCTCCCTCCATCTCTCCTTCATACACCCATAGCACCCTATTTATTTAGGATCTGTCTCGTCTGCTGCGCTTTTCCACCCAGTATCTCTTTACCTGATACCTCCTACAATGAATATTTTGCTCAACCGACTTCACAGATTTTTTCTTTCATCCCTTTTTGGTCTTCCTCTTTATCTTTTCTTTTTCTTTCTCAGTTTTTAAACCTGATACCTCGTACAATGCATTTGTTCCTCAACCGAGTTCGCTTATGATTATTTTCCCCTTCGCCTTTCTTTGTTTCGGTCTTCCTCTTTATCTTTTTTCTTTCTTTCTTTCTTTCTTTCTTCGTTGTCTTCATGCCTGAGTATGTGGGCTCCTCCCCTGCCACTGTTTGTAGATTTTGAGGGCGTCGCCTTGTAGAACAGAAAGTTAGGTGCCTGTGTACTGCCCCCGCTAGATCTCTGAGTCGAGTCCTGTATTCTGAGTGACCCCTTCCCCGATTCTGATCTTGAAACATGATCTGTCTTCTGGCGGCTGGTTTTTCTTGGTTTTTCATTTTGTTGGGGTTTTTTTGTTTTTCTTTTGTTTTTTTGTTTTTTTGTTTGGGGGGGGGTTGTTTTTGTTTGTTTTTGTTTTGTTTTTGTTTTTGTTTTGTTTTTTCTGTTTTGTTTCCACGTTAGATCATGTTCCTCGTGTTGTGATCCTTTGTTCCTGGCTTTGCCTGTGTGGATAGCCTCTATCTCCCTGAACTTGCAGGGAGGTTGTTTTTATCGTCTTGAAAAAGACGGCATGAAACCGATCTTTTGTCTGGTTGAGTGAGTGTTAAAGACCTATTCCTGGCTATGTGCTGGATGGTACGCGTGCGGCATAGTTGGAGAGCGCCACTGGTAGATCTTTCCTTTCTGTTTTATTTATTCTCTCCCCCTTCTCTCTCTCTCTCTCTCTCTCTCTCTCTCTCTCTCTCTCTCTCTCGC